GGACCCCCATCCACATATCTGCATTCATTCCACAATGCCACACTCTTTTAATCAGGAGTGAATTCTAGTTCACTTAAAATACATAATAGCTTTTTTTCCCCTCCAGTTTGAATGCAGAATTTATAAATACAACACATAGATACAATCCTACTTTGACCAAGAGCAGTCATTATCGTCTAAATCACAGTGGATGGCAAAGTCCCTTAAGCAAGCATTTAAGGGGCAGTTAGTTTAAAGATAAGATGCTTGTTGACTTGAAAAATCATCTTGCTTTGGATCATGGCTCAAGAGCTGGAAATGAGTTCAGAGGCCATTATGTCCAACCGCCCAACTCACCTCATCTTACAGATGTGGAAATTCAGGCCCAGAGAGCCTCTATGACTGACCAGCCCAAGGTTACAGAAGTAGTAAGTGGCAGCGGAGGGATTTTAACATAGATCCTCTGATACCAGAGCCATTGTGATCCCCAGGGCAACGAGGAGATGTCTCCCATCCTATCCCATCCCAACCCATCTCATCTCATCCCTTCCATTCCTATCCCATTCTATCCCTAGCCATTCCATCCCTTCCCATCCCATCACATCCCAACCCCTCCTATTTTACCTCATTCCTTCCTATCACATTCCATCCTGTTCCATTTCATCCTTTTTTATCCCATCCTACTCCTCAACTCTCCAGCTCTTCAATTGCACCTTCAGTGAAGATGTATTAATTGACTTACCATATGCACACTATACTTGGAGCTGGGGATCAATGATAATAATAATAATAGCATGTACTTAGCATTTTAAGGTTTGTAAATGTTTTCTATGTATTATCTTGATACAACAATAAATAAGATTTGGTTTTTGACCTCTTAGGACTCAAAATCAGGTAATTCTGCTATGGGGCAAGGGCTGAGGGTTGATAGATCACATCTTTAGAGACTGAAGGGACCTTTAGTGACCACTTAAGCCAATCTTTTCAATTTACAGATGAGGTTGTGATTGGCCCAAGGTCAAACAGGATTCAAGGATCCCACTCTCTCTAAGTGTCAATTCAGTGCTCTTTCCACTGCAACACACTTCCTTGATTGAATAAGACAAACCTCTCAAAAAATTCATGGTCCCAGAGTACAGCCCAGAACTTGGGGGTGAAAAAACCCCCCCAACAGATTTCTGACTATTGGCTGCAGAACAGGCAAAGAGCAGCCTTTGGCGCCACCTGCTGGAGGTTCTAGAGAATGGGTACCTCTAGGGTAAGCTTCTGCAGCTTCTGACTCTTCTGCCTAACTCCACATCCTGGTGAATGACTGCTGCCCCTCTCTCTGCTTTAGTATAGGACACAGAGATTGGGTTCACACTAATCAAAACAGGCCCTCATTCTATATACACCCCATTTCTAGCCTTCTTGCCAGTGGAGTTACCCCAAACCTAGTGTAGCGACCCCTCTACTACTACTTAAGGCTCTAAGGGTAACCCTGAGGGGCTGAGATTTCTAGTATTGCTGTTGCTCTCGAGCCCCCACCGGCGTATTTCCCAATGATTATCAGCCAGACCTGATTAGCTCTTAGGAAGAATTTTTACCAAGCAGGAATAGTTTAAAATCAGTCCCCCCCCCCCCAACATACCAATGTTCACCAGATGAACATTGGGAACTAAATCACTAAATAAAATGGCCTTTTCTCAGTCCTCATCCCGACCTCTCTGCAGCCTTTGGTGTTGTTGATCACCTTTACTTTGATACTCTCTCCCCCTTTCTTCTGTTTCTCCTCCTACCTAGTCTTCTTTGCTGGATCTTCATCCAGGTCTACCCCCTCCCCCATTACTATGGGTGCCCACAGAACTCAGTCTTGGGCCTTCTTCTCTTCTGCCTCTATACTATTTCATTTGCTGATCTCTTCAGAGTGCATAGTTTCAATTATCATCTCTATATTGATCTTCACATTTACTTATCCAGTCCTAAACTCTCTTCTGACCTCCAGTCTCATATATCCAACTGCCTCTTAAACAGATTGAACTAGATGTCCTGTAGACAACTTAAACATGTCCAAAACTAAACTCATTATCTTTTCCCCAAAACTCTTCCCTCATCCTAACTTCCCTATTACATTGAGAATATTACCATCTTCCCAGTCACCCAGGTTCAAAACCTTGGTGTTGTCCTCAAATCCTCACTTTCTCTCACCCCTAATGCCTAATCTGTTGCCAAGACCTGTTGCAATATTTCTAGCATGTGTATACCCCTTTCTCTCCTCTGAGATTGCCATCCCCCCGGTGTGGGCCTTTATCACTTTACACCTGGACCATTGCATCAGCCTGCTGTGTTGATCTCCCTGGAGTCTCTCTCCAAACCAGGCCATTCTCCATTCAGCTGCCAAAGTGATCTTCCTAAAATGCAGGTCTCACCATATCACCCCCACTCAATAAACTCCAGTGGTTCCCTATCTCTTCCAGAATAAAATAGAAACCCCTATAGTATCCAAAGCCCTTCATAAGCTGACCTCCCCTGCCTTTCCAGTCTTCTTACATCTTACACCCCACCTCCTACCTCCTCTGTGACCCAGTAACACTGGTCTTCTTGCTGGTCCTAGAACAAGACATTCCATCTCCCTACATGAGGCATTTTCCCTGGCTGTCCCCCATGCCTGAATTATCTTCCTCCTTAGCTTCTCTGGCTACCTTCAAGTGCCAGCTAAAATGCCACCTTCTGTTCAGTCATTTTTCTGTTGTGTCTGACTCTTTGAGACTCCATTTTCATGGCAGAGATACTGGAGTGGTTTGCCATTTCCTTCTCTAGCTCATTTTATGGACAAGGAAACTGAGGCAAACAGGGGTAAATGACTTGCCCAAGGTCACATAGCTAGTAAGTGTCAGGAAGATGAGTCTTCCTGACTCCAGGTCCAGTGCTCTCTCCACTGCTGTCCTTCAAGACCCTTCTTAGTTCTAGTGACATACTTCTATTGATTGTCACCCGTACACAGCTTGTTTGGTACATAGATTTTTACATATCATCTCCTCCATTAGACTATGAGCTCTTTGAGAGCAGGAACCATCTTTTGCCTTTCTTTGTATCCCCAGAGCTTATTATTATTAATAACAATACCTGGCACACAGCAGGTGCTTAATAAATGCTTATTGACTGACTAGTTGTGACACTGTTAACTCTTGGGATGTATACAACCTATGGTGGGTGTGTAGCCTTCTTTAAGCTCAAAGAAAGGCATTGTGTCGCTATTTTAATTATCCAAAGGGAAAGTGCAATTTCTGATTTGCCCACCAGGAAGTGTTCTTCTCAAGGCTTCAATTAGTGGTTTCACCAAAGTTGCTCTGGTGACTGGGATTATAGACTTCCTAAACCAACAAAATTGTCATACCTCTATTGACCACCAGAGGCCAGTCATCCTACAAAAGTGGAGACCCTTCATGTTTACACATAGTGGACCTAACCAGTTTTTAAATTTAGCTACAAGAAGGATAGGAATAGGGACTGGACCTCATTTCATTAATATAGAGAACTCTCAGATGAGGAAAGTTCCTCTATCAATGTCACTCTGCCTCTTTACAACTAGAGTCTTACAGAGCTGCCTTAGGATGCTAAGAGTTTAAGGGCTACACATATACCATTATGTCAGAGGTGAGACTTGAACTCAGGTCTTCTAGCTCTTTGCTAGCTCTCTTACCTAGGGACATGATCTAAAATGTTAGTCAAAATATTGAAAATAGAAAGTCTGTGACTCTAGCCTCAACCTCATATCTGTGATCTCACTCCACCCAACCTCCCCTGCCATTAGCCACATTCACAGAACACAGTCACTCATTCTGCTATGGCCACATAGTTTAATATAGGGAACTCCCAGATGAGGAAACTCACACAACTTGCCCACAGATAATCAGGTACTAAATGGCAGAGCCAGGATTTGAACCCAGGAGTGTTGATTCCAAGTCCAGCATTCCCAGTTCAGACAACCCTACAGAGAATGTTGAAGCTGTATTCCCAACGTACTTCCTGGTATCTTAATGATTAGTTCCCCCAGGGAGGACTTCAAGAGGCCTTTTTACCTTCTCCCATTAAAGGAAAGATGCTATTGCAGAAATACCCATTTCACAATAAAACTAAACTGACTCCTTTGGGGCACCACTTTTCTTTCAAAATATTCAAAAAACCAACCATTTAATAAGTTCTTCTAGGATTTTGACAGGAATCCAAGTCAAGCTCCCTGGTTTCTAATTTAGAGGCTCCATCCTCTACCCTTCTTTTGAAAATTGAAACATTTGCTTGACTCCAGTCTTGCAGGAACTATTCTTGCTCCCCTTGATTTTTCAAAGATGGCGGCTCAACAATCATATCTTGCCTGGGAGAGCTGGAGCCAGCTCATACCTGCTCAGGAGACTGGATTGTTACATTTTCAGTAAGCTCATTTACACCCCGGAAATCAATGAAAGCTACAAATCAGGGCTTGACTTATTGTGTTGTTGATTGTCTAGACTTGAGAAAATGTCTATACTGCAGACTAAACTGAACAGTGGGTCATAGGTACTTTTTTTTTTTGGAGATAAACATTTACCAGTAGACCTCTGCTACATACTAGGTCCTTCAAGACCCTGGAATGTCATTAAAAGCAGCCAGAGGCCTTCTTGCTATCTTCTCACTTACCTTGGGTATGAACTCCATGTTAGCCATTTTTATTCAGTCTGTTCCCATTCAAAGATCATGGGATCATCCATTTAGATTTGGAAAGAACCTTAGAGGCCATCTAGAGCTACTATTGCTACTACTACCACCACCACTACTACTACCACTACTATTATTGTTACTCCTCCTCTTACTACTACTCCACCTTTCCCTCCTATTACTACTATTACTACTACTACTACTACTACTACCACTACTACTGTAACTATTACTGCTGCTGCTGCTGCTACTACTACTACCACTCCTTTTCCTCCTCTTATTACTACTGTTACTACTACTACTACCTACTACTACAACAATAACTAATAATAATAAATACTAGTAATACTAACACAACTGCTACTAATAATTATTATTACTATTTTAACACATTTCCATATTACTTTAAGGTTTGTGAAGCATTTAACATAGGTTATCTCCCTTCATACTCATAACAGCCCTGTGAAGTTGGTGCTATTATTATCCCCATTTTAGAGTGGAAGAAAAGATCTCAGAAGGGCGCTGCTGAGGAATCTGAGACCCAGAGGATTGTACCAAAGTCACCTTGGGAAATCAGTTCACTCCTCTGAGCCTCAGTTTCTTTTTTTGTAAAATAGCATCATGGACTGGATCTGGGGTTCTTACCCTTTGTGTATGTCTTTAGCAGCTAAAATCCACCAACCTGTTGCTAGAATAATGGGTTTTTTTTAAAATTCATAATTGATGGAAATGCTAAATTGTAGTTAGAAGTTAGTAAAAATAGAGATGTAATTTTTCCCATCCAAATTTAGAGACTCCTAGAGTCCATCCCAGGGTAAGGACTCCTGGACTAAATGGTCTCTAAGCTCCCTTACAGGTCAGACTCCATAAGCCCATTATTCCCAGGTGTAGCTCTCCAGACCAAGTCCTGCTCACTGCCCCTTTTTACCCTTCACTCCCAAAGGAGCTCATAGAGTTTGAGGTTACAGACAAGGGGTCTCAGTTGGCACCAAAGGCTGCTTTTAGCTTCCAGAGTTTAGTCCTCAGATCCTTCTCCTTGTGTTGAGTCCAGGCTTTGGCCCTTGGGTCAGTGGCCCATCCACAGACCTGAAGAGATAGCCCTGAAGTCCAGCTCCTGGGAAGGCCAATCCATTGGGTTTATTCCATCTCCTCCACGAAACCGGGCAGGAATTTGTCCTTCCCTAGGTGCCCCTGGCTGCTGTTCCTCGGGCATACAGGGGTGCTTTGGCCAGGAGAAGGGGATGCCAGGAGGGAGGCTCCATCACCTAGTATGGGTCTATGGGGCATCTCACCCCCAGGCTGCCCCATCAGCTCAGAGGGGTTTGTGGTATTGCTAGATGAGACCTTTTCTGTTGAGGAGGCTGTTTCAGGGGCTTCACCCAGGGCAGCTCCCATTGCACTGGACTGAAGTAAGAAAAAAGGAAACCACTCAGTGAGTGATCCTACTTTTAAAAAGTAGATAGCTTAACTTTAAAAAACAGGCAATCAATAAACCCATGGGGCAGTTGAATCTCAGTTATCTGTGCACTCTTATCTGTCTTGTGGATTATCCTTAAATAGTATTTCCCACTCCCAAACCACCCACTTCCCTGATCACTTTCTCCACTGGTCTATTTGCTGTCCCCTATTCTATCTCCTGCCTCTGAGACTTTGCACAGGCTGTCCCTGATGCCAGGCATCTTCTTCCTGGGACCCCCCAGATCATCTAGACTGAGCTCAACTGCTTTCACCCCAGGTGTCAGCAGATGCCCCACCCACCATCATAGCCTGTATTTACTGATCTGGGAATATGTATTCTCCAAAGAAGAATGGAAACTCCTTGGGGACAGGCACTGTTTTTCTTTTGCTTTACATCCCCAGCCCATAGCCCAGTGCTTGACACATTGTAAGCTCTTAATAAAAACATGTTAATTGATTGACTAATTGATCAGCCCCATTTAGAGAAAGCTAATTTATCTCAATAACTTAAAATCAGAAAACCATAATGTTAGAGCTGAAAGGGACCTTGAAAGCCATTCAGTCCAATCTCCTCATTTTATAGAGCAGGAAACTGAGGCCCAGAGTGGGGGGAAGGGACTATCTCGAAGCCACATAGCTAGACTCAAGCTGAGGCACATAGAGAACCCAGACTCCTGATTACAAGTAACTATAATTAAGTGTTCTTTCTGAAGATGATGGAATGAAAGCAGTGACTTGCTTGAGCTCTCTCCCCCAGGTCCCTCTAGATGCCTGTAAAAAATGGCTCTAAAGCGTTCTTTCTATTTTTCTATGCTTCCAATAAATTACTTTCTGATTATTAGAAATTATCCCATCCCTACCCTCAGCTTTGACCCCTACATCTCTAAGCCTAGAGAGTTGGGAGTAGATAGCATTGTGCATTGAAAGTGGAGACCCTTTGATGCAATGGAAAGATTTGAGGTAAAAGAACATGGGTTCAAATGCTGCCTCAGCTGCTTACCCCCTGTGTGCCTTTAGGCAAATCACTTTACCACTCTCAGCCTCAGTTTCCTCACTTGTAAATTAAAGAAAATAATAGTTATAAAAATAACAATTTTCTTCATTTGTAACAACGAAGGCTGTTGTAGGGATTTATTGAGATAATTTATGTAAAGCAAACCTAGCTGTGATTCAAGCCAATCACGTAATCAATCAGCAAAAATGCACTGTGGGGTGGGGGGAGGGTACAAAAAGGGGCAAAAGACAAGTGTCTACCCTCGAGGAGCTCACAGTCTAATGGGGGAGACAACATGCTAACAAATAGACAAGCAAGTTTTATACAGGATAAATAGGAAATAATTAGCCAAAGGAAGGCACTAGAAATTAAGGGGAGTTGAGGAAGGCTTCCTATAGAAGGTGGAATTTCAGTTGGGACTTAGAGGAAACCAGGGAGGTCAGTGGGTGGAACTGAGGAAGGAGAACTCTCTGGGTATCATTTTTCTTGTAAATGCTAAAACGAGGTGGATAGAGTGCTGGAGCTGGCATCAGGAAGCCCTGGTTTTAAATCTGGGCCCTGATTTGGCTATGAGATTCTGAGCAAGTCCCCTAACCTCTCTCTGCCTTAGTTTCCTCATCTGTAAAATGGGAATGATAAACAGCACCTCCTTGCCAGGACTGTCGTGAGGATCAATGGAGAGAGCATTTCTAAAGTGCTTTGCAGTCCCTGATGGCCCATAGAAATATTAGTTAATATGATTGTTGTTATTATTATTATTACGAGGGATCGGACCAAAGGATTCTCTAAAATCTCGTCCAGCTCTAGAGCCTGAGAACTGTTTTCATTTCAAAATGGAGGTGAGGCTCTCCTGCCTTCTTCCTTCACTCCCCACAGCCCTGCTCCCATCTCTTCCTTTCCTCCTCAGTAGCTTCTCTCTGGCCAAGGCTGCTCTGGGCTTACCCTAGCAGCGCGGTGATGGGGTGCTCTCTACCCCACACCCCAGCCCTTGGAAGTCGGGGGAGGGGGCCCTACTGCCGGGGTCTCCAGGGACAGCCCCTCATTGAGCCCTCTTCCCCACACTTCCCACAAAGCCCTGCCCTGCCCGGTCCTCACAGCCAGGCCCAAGCATGGGCTGCTCTCTGCCATCTTGTTTCCAGAGGCATTATGGGAAGGCCACCAGTGGCACACCAGGCTGTCGTTCTGAACACCGTACTTCTTGTTCCCCAGGAGCCAGTAGGTTTTCATTTTTCCTTTGCCCTGAAAGAAGGGGAAGCACCTCAGCTGGGCCTGTGAGACCGCGGCATCTCTGGGAGCTTGGATTCCTGCTACAGCTGTGTCCTATCAGGCCCCTACGAGAGGGCAGGGATGGGTCTTGGGTTTCCTCCACCCCAGTCCCATAGTGCTGTGCTAAATGCCTTACATCCAGTAGGTACCCAACAATTATTTTTTGAATGAATGAATGAAAGAAATATCACCAGCAGAATCTCAAAGTTGGAAGGGAGGGGAGCAGTGTAGCAGAGTGGCACTTGCATTTAAATCCTGGCTCCGCTTCCTACTACTGTTGGGAAGGTCCCTTAACCTCTCTGGACCTCAGTTCTTTATCTGTAAAATGGGACCTCATCTGTAAAACAGCCTCTTCAATCCTATGATGTCGGCAGTTATCAAGTCCAACTTGTACCTGAACGGGAATCCTTTCTACAACATCCCAAGAGCCAAGGAGGCAGCCAGTCTCTGTTCGAAGGCCTCTAGTGAGGGGGAATATACAATGGAAACAGCATCACCTCGGATGCTTGCTAGTTGTTTCCACAAGTTGCTTACCCTTCTGTAAAATGGGAGGAAGGGGAGGTGTGCTCAAGATGACCTCTTAAAGCCCTCCCCAGCTCTACATCTCAGGTGCTATGATCACTGTGGGCCTAAGCTGGCATCTCAATCGATCTAACCCAGCCGCTTCTCACCTTGACGTCAATCTCTCCTCGAAGCTCAATTTCATACGCGTCATCCGTCAGGAGGGTCTGGTAGGTGGCGGAGCTGATGTGAATCTTTTGGGCTGCCAGATGGAAAGACATTAGCAAGCAGAGAGAGGCTGGGGGCTGGGATGTGACCTGGACTATTAGCCCCAGCCCCCTGTTCCTCCCCAGGGAGAGAGAAGATGAATGAGTATTCCTGTTTGTGAAAAGGGACAGAGTTCTTTCCAGCACGGGGTGGAGGGTGGTGGGGATGGGGGACAGGTAGGAGGCAGATTAACTGGATTACCTTCTAATGAGTTCTCCACCTCTGATAGAGAGACAGAGAGAGCAAGAAGGAGGCTGAGGAGGGGTTGAAGATGAAATCAGTGGGGAGGGGAGGCCTCCTGGAGACCCTGTGGAGGGAGGCAGAACAGTAGGGTAGACCTAGGGAGCCAAGGGACCTCACTGGGCTCAGCTCTTTTTTTTTTTCTGGCTAGGCAGTGGGGTTAAGTGACTTGCCCAGGGCCACACAGCTAGTAAGTGTCAAGTGTTTGGTCTGAGGCCACATTTGAACTCAGGTCCTCCTGACTCCAGGGCCGATGCTCTGTCCACTGCGCCACCTAGCTGCCCCCTCAGCTCTTTTTTCACACAGCCTCGTGGTCATGGGCCAGTCATTTCTTCTAGGGCCCCATTTCCTTCAGTGGGAGTTCTTAGGAAAGGATGTTGGGAAAGCCAAGTAAACTTGAGGCACTCACGCAGACTGGTAGATTCCATCCTCGACGCTGTGTTGACTGTGTCTCCAAAGAGGCAGTAGCGGGGCATTTTGTAGCCAACCACACCGGCCACACAGGGGCCTATAGGGAAGGCAAAGCCAGGGGGAGGGAAAGGAAGGGGCAAAGGAAAGAAGAAGGAATGGAAGGAGAGAGCCCCAGATTCTAACCCACGTCCTCTGGCCCCCAAACCAGTCTGCTTTCTAGCACATCTTGACTATTGTCTTCTAGGGATCTCAAAGATCTAGTCTCACCCTCCTGGCCTCAGAGATGAGGAATGTGAGATCCAGAGAGTTGAGAGGACTTACCTACAATCCCACTGGCAGGAAGTGGAAGGGCTGGGCCTCCCGTTATATCATAATGCCCCATATCTACACAGGGATATTGCTGTACCAGGGCACTGAAGCCTGAGTCATCTTTAACAATACCTAGCTTTTCAATAACAAAGCACTCTACAAATATCAATCCTCACAGCAACCCTGGGAGGTAGGAGCAATTATTATCCCCATTGTACAGATGAGGAAACTGAGGCACAGTGGTCAAGTGACTTGCCCAGGATCACACAGCTAGTTAAGTGTCAAGTGTTTGGTCTGAGGCTGGATTTGAACTCAGGTCCTCCTGACTTCAGAGCCAGTGCTCTATCCACTGTGCCACCTAACTGCCCCGTGGATCTCTTCTTGGAATTATGTTTTTATATGTATAAAATAAAGTACAGAGCATTACAAAGGAAACTGATATCTATATTGAAATATAGTTATCAACATATTAGATACCCAAATATAAGAACCCCTTCTACAGGTAACCATGAAGGTCCGTTCTCCCTCTTCCACTCCGTCTACTAACCTGCCTGGCTTCCTTTAAGTACTAACCAAAATCTCACCTCCTACAGGAAGCCTTTCCCAATCCCTCTCAATTCCAGTATCTTCCCTCTGTTAATTATTTCCTATTTATTCTGTGTATAGTTTGCTTTGAATATGTTTGTTTGCAAGTTGTCTCCTCTATTAAATTGTAAGCTCTTTAAGGGCAGGAACTGTCTTTTGCTTCTTTTTATATCCCCAGAGCTTAGCACAATGCCTGGCACATAGTAGGTGCTTAATAAAGGTTCTGTTTGTTGTTTTGAGTTGTTTCAGTCACGCCAGACTCTTTGTGAGCCCATTTGTTTTTGTTTTTGTTTTTGTTTTTTTGGCAGAGATATTGGAGTGGTTGGCCATTTCCTTCTCCAGCTTATTTTACAGATGAGGAAACTGAGGCAAACAGGGTAAAGTGACTTGCCCAGGGTCCTACAGCTAGTGTCTGAGGGCAGATTTGAACTCAGGTCTTCCTGACTCTAGGCCCAGTTCTCTATTTGCTGATCCATCTAACTGCCCCATAAATGTTTATTGAATTGAAATCAATAATCCTCTAATGTGCTCAGGAAAATTGAAAACTCCAGTGAATTTGTTGGCATGAGCCCCCATTTCAAAGACGGAGAAATTGATTTTGAGAACATGAAGAATCCTCTCCCTATATCCACCAAGTGGTAAGAGGTTGAGAAAGGCTATTTGCCCCATTCTGCTGACCAGGCCCCACACCCGGGCATCTGCCCACCTCCTCTTACCTGTGTGGATTCCAGCCCTCAGCTGCAGCTTCTCCCCGGGCATGTGGGGGATCAGGACCTGGCGCACAGCAGCCACCAGGTCCAGCGCCATTTTAGCAATCTCATCGGCATGCTTCTCCCCATTCCTTTCAGGTAGCCCACTTACCACCATATATGCATCACCAATGGTCTCCACCTGCAGGGGATGAGAGGCATCTGTAGGCAGCTGTTGTCCTGGCTTGTCTTCTGACATGATTCCCCTCATTTGGCCGTGGCCCCTGAGTCTCCACCAGCCTTCCCCAACCTGGCCATGACCCCTGACTCTCCCTCTACCTTCTCCCAACCTGGCCATGGCCCCTGAGCCTCCACCAGCCTTCCCCAACCTGGCCATGACCCCTGAGTCTCCCTCCACCTCCTCCCACCCTGGCCATGGCCCCTGAGCCTTCACTCACCTTGTAGACATCATAGGACTCAATCCTCGTGTCAAAGCAGACATACAGGTTGTTGAGCATGTCCACCACTTGCAGGGGAGTGCAGGAGGCAGCAATACTGGTGAAGCCCACAATGTCCGAGAAGAAGATGGTCACCTGGCCCCAGGAAAGCAGAGCAGAGGGAGACAAGAGGAGAGCCTCTCAAAAAACAGCAGGCCTGCTTTCAGGGTATCCTAGAGCTCTGGGGTTGAGGCACAGAAAAACGGGGCAGACAGGTAGCACAGCAGATGGAGTATGGGCCTGGAGTCAGGAGGACCTGAGTTCAAATCTGGCCTCAGGCACTTAATAGCTGTGTGACCCTGGGCCAGTCAGTTAACCTTTCTCAACCTCAGTTTCCCTATCTATAAAATGGGGACAATAGTTTCTCCCTCCTAGGGTTGTTATAAGGCTCAGATGAGACAATGTCAGGTCAGCAAACCTTGAATAAACATCAACTACTCTGGATAACATGGTTAATTAACAAAAGGCACTGTCACTAAATTGCTACATGACCTTGGAAAAGTGTCCTGATCTCTCTGGGCCCCAGTTTCTCTACCTGCTGACCTTCCTTTTCCCCAGGGTGCTGTTTGAACAGGGAGACCCACATGGCATCTCCTCCCTTTTCCTGGATCCCCCTCCCTCTGAACCTCCATGCAGTGATGCGGCCAAAGATGGACAGAGATTATTAGTGGTTTTGTTTACTACGATTATTTAATTTCTTAAGCAATCCAGTGATTTGATCAGCATAGAGGACGCTCACTGAGGCACTCCCTGCACCAATAAAGATCAGCACTTTTTTCTCCAACTTACGTCTTCGGGCACTGAGAAGTCTTGACCCAAAGGTCAGCGCTCATGGGCCCTTGCTCTCCCCCTCCCTCTCCCCTTCCTCCTCTCCCCCTTCTTTCCTTTCCCCTTCTCTCTTTTCACTAAACCAGTCTGCCTCCTACCAATGTTATTAATAATATCAGATTTTGCTGTTCAGTTGTATCCAACTCTTCATGACCAGGTTTGGGGTTTTCTTGACAAAGATACTGGAGTGGTTTGCCACTTACTTCTCCATCTTACAAAGGGTGAAGTGACTTGCCCAAGGTCACACAGCTTAATAAGTATCTGAAGCTGGATTTGAACTCAGGTCTTCCTGACTCTGGGCCTGCTGCTCTATCCACTGTGCCCCCTGGCTGCCCCTATTCGGAAATTACTAATTTGAATACTGTAATATGAGATTACTAAAATATTAATATGAATGCCCTCCACCAAAGTCCTTTGATGCCACATTATGGCACATAGGTGACTCAGGGTTCTCAAGACTCTGCCGGCAGAGCCCAACCACTGGTAGGTCCTACCCAGGAAGAAAGGATTCAAGGACAGGCCTGGTAACAGACCACAGGCGGTTGTCTGAGGACCGGCCGAATCAGATTCAGAGAGGCCCACTGCCAGGCGGGCTGAAGGGGGAATGAATAGGAGCCAACATTTATACGGAGATTTAAGTCTTATAGAGCACTTTACAAATACTATCTAATTTGATCCTCACAACAATCCTGGGAGGTGCTATTATTATGACCCCCATTTTATAGATCAGGAAACTGAGGTAAACAGAGATTGAGCAATTTGCCCAGAATCACATATCTAGCAAATGGCTAAGGCTAAATTTGAACTCAGGTCTTCCTGATTCCATGCCCAGTGCTCTGTCCATCATGTTACCTATCTACCACCACCCCCGAATTATTTTGTATTTACTCCATATATATTTCATGTTTAGTTACATATCGTCCATCCCCATCCCTGGTAGAATGTAAGCTCTTTGAAGGCAGGGACAGAATTGTTTTTGTCTTTGTGTCTACCTAGTACAGTGACTGGCACACAGTACGGGCTCAGTAACTTTTCAAATCAAATTGAAATACTATTTACCAAGTCTCAGAGAGTTAAAAATCAACCCCTACAAAAATCTTAGATGCCTGAAGTCTTTGAGTGGGTACAATGATGCTGAGAGTAAGAAATAATCATTCATCTAACAGTAATTCACAGTGGATGAAGCACAGAGGGACAGGCTTGGGCTCCAGTAAAGAAAAGCTTCTTACCAACTAGAGCTGTGCTATTTGGAAGTGGAGATTATGTAAAAACAAAAACACTTAAAGGTTTTTATTGTTTTGTTTTTTTATGGAGAACTTGGGGAGGGAGCTTCCCCAGGAGACGGTAAGCTTCTTCTCACTAGAGGGCTTCCGCTGGAGGCTGGGGGCCACTGGTTGGCAACATCATAAAGGAGATTCTAGTTCAGGCCTGGGTTTGACTAGATGCCCACTGGGGGCCTTCCAGCCTAGAGTCTGTGGTTTCTATAACACTAAGATTTGTGGAGCACTTTCCCATGACAACCCTGTGAGGTAGGTGGTATAACTTTTATCTTCCCTATTTAACAGAAGAGGAAATTGAGGGACCCACCCACAGTAACAAATCTAGTACTGATCAGAACAGGAATTTCAATCCAGCTTCCAAATTTATTACCTTTTCCAATAGACTGTGCAGCAGGACCCTATCATGTCTCAATCAGTTAGTTAATAAATATTTATTAAGCCCCTACTACATATTGTGAACCACTTTGAGCCCCCCCATCACCTGAGAAAGGCCTGAAACCTGGATTGGCCAATCAGGAAAAAGACATTTTTGGCCCACTCTGCACTCAACCTACCACAATGCCTTGTGTGCTCTGGCATAACAGACATGCTTTGCTTTGCTCTCTGAGGGAACCCAAAATGCCCTTTCCGTGTCAGCAGCTACAAGGCCAGACGAAGCCGACCGAAGCATTCTTTTGTTTATGACTACCACGGACACGATGCCTTGAACAGGACACTATCTTGAATAATGGGACTTATCTTATGTTTTCTTATATTGTATTACGTCACGTTAATGGCAAAAGAAATATAGACATCCTGGATCTACAATTTAAATTGGTATCTTGACATTCTCCTATCCCATTGTATTTACAATCTATCCTATTAAGAAATTCCTTTCTCACATTATGGTTAAACACATATGGAGACTATAATTTTGGTTGACACAGGCATCCTGACAGGATTGCTCTAAGTATATAAGGGGTCTCCTTCAGCTTGTTTACTCTGAGTTCAGAATTATTTTCTGACTCCATCATGCATGATTCTCTGGCTTAATGAGAATAAATAAGTACGTTACAGCACATGTACAGCCTGATTTTGTTTGTTTCTCACTCAAACTTTTGGTAAGGTGAACCCCATTCTGTGTGTTCTTTGGACAAACCTCTGGTAAATGGTCGACAGTTTCAGCTGCTAGGTGGCACAGTGGATAGAGTGTTGGGCTTGGAATCAAGAAGATACATCTTCATGAGTTCAAATCTGGCCTCAGACTTAGTTGTGTGACCCTGGGCAGGTCCCTTTACTTTGTTTGCCTCAGCTCTTCATCTGTAAAATGAGCTGGAGAAGGAAATGGCAAGGTGCTCCAGTATCTTTGCCGAGAAAACCTCAAATGGGGTCACAAAGAGTTGGATACAACAGCAACAGACATGTCAGGCACTGTGCTAAACGCTAGGGATACAAAGACAGGCAAAAGACAATCCCTGCCCTCAAGGAGCTCACAGTCCAACATAGGGGAAGCAACATTCAAATAACCACATAAGAACAAATTATAGACAGGATAAACTAGAGAAAATCCACAGAAGGAAGACACTAGAACTAAGAGGGATTAGGAAAGACTTCTGGTAGAAGGTGGGATTTTAGCTGGGACTTAGAGGAAGCCAGAAGGCAAGAGGCTGAGGGAGAGTACTTCAGGTATGAGGCACAGCCTGGGGAAATGCCCAGAGTCAGGAGAGGGAGAATCTTGTTGGAGAAAGAGCCAGGAGATGGAGATGAGGAGAGAGAGCATTCAGGACAGCAGGCACATTCAGTTAAAATGCAGGGGTTTTGGGGCCACTTTCTCATCCTTTTCTTTAAAAAAAAAATAATAATACAAATGTTTTACTGACGCTCTTTAGCTCTCCATGGCTATGGATTCCCAATGACTGCATCACAAACCCCTCTCTTTAGCAAAACAAAACACAGCACATTGGCTGTCTGACATCATACGCTTCATTATGCACCTCTAGGGCACCATGTCTCTGCTGAGAGATAAGAAATGTATTTCACTATCAGGCTTCTGAAGTTGGAGCATGAGTCCCCCTCCTTTTCTAATTTGATCAAAGTTACAAGGTGCCCCACCCCAACAATTTCCCTACCCCTTATTCCTACATCCTCTGCCTGAAGCTTTGTTCTGTATCTATCCCCTGCCCTAATTACAGGTAATTATCCTCCACAAAGCAATCTGGAAGCAAAATGCAAATAACAGTCCTTTCCCAGTGAGCCTCATGCTGTGTCTCTAGGAGAATGAGCGACAACAGCATGTCTCCTCATTTCTGAAAAAACAGCTGAACCATAGTTCAAACCAATCCACATCTCCCACTGACGAAAATGAGGTTTTGGTCACTAGTGTTCACGTCCACTCTGAGGCTTAGCAGGTGTGGGCTTCCTGTCCCACCTGGATCCCATCCCCTGCTCTGGGGACCGTCCAGCGGGAGGCTGCTAGGGTCAGAGCTAGACAGGTCACTGGCCACCACTGCCCTGTCTGTTCCTTCATCACACCTGGCTCCTGGCCCAGGTCTGCCCCCTGGTTCCTTAATGCCACCTCAGGTACCCAGGACCCCGAACTAGGAAGAAAGTATTTTATTCCAGGTTCTCTTTCTTTTTCAATTTGGTCCAAATTATGGGGCAGCTGCTGAGACTCTCTATCCTTTCTTCTCTTCTTCCCCTCTCCCTCCTACCTCCTTCTCCAGCCTCCTAAGCGTTGGCTTGTTTCCAACACCTGGGGCTAATTAGGGGGTAATTATTCCCCACTGCACCAAGGAACAAAATGCAAATAATTTTCCCTCCCCCTTTGAATCTCCAGCTGCTCAGTCAGCAAAGAGAAGGAAAGAGAACCTTTGCACCCAGAACAGGGGACCTCAAACCTTTTGGTCTGGAGACCCCTTTACACTCAAAAAAACTGAGGACCCCAAAGGGGTTTTGTTTATGTGTATTTTTTGCCATAGAGATTTATCACACTTGAAATTAAAATGTCTTAGTATTATCGTGCAGAATAGTTTTGACCTTGCAAGCCCCTGAAATGGTCTTGGAGTACCTCCCATGAGTCACCAGGCTATGCTTTGGAAACCACTAACCCTGAGGAGCGTCTAACAAGTGCAAGCATCCATATGGGGGTTTGGGGGCTTTGCTGATTTGTCTCAGAATCTTCACATGTAGTAGGTCTCAGGTGGGAAGCCCCCTCACACCTGCCGATGGAAAGGACCTGGCAGTGGGAAGCAGGGGTCCTGGGTGGGATGCCAACTCTGTCCTTGGCTTGGTCATAGGGTCATAGATTTCAAGCTGGAGAGAACCTTAGGGGTTATTGACCCCTAAATTGTGCCCTGAACCTCAGTTTACCAATGAGGAAAATGAGGCCACATGAAAACAGTAATACCTGCCCTACTAACCCTACACAGCTTTTGTGAGAAGGAAATGGAATAAAAGAGGTAGAAAATCAGGAACTCTGGGTTGTGGTCCTTGCTTTGCCATGAGAGTCAGCTAGGTGACGCCTCCCACTGACCTGGGAATTAGGAAACCCTGAATTGAAATCCTCAGGCACTTACTACCTGGACAAGTCATTTAAACATTCTCAGCCTCAGTTTCCTCATCTGAAAAATGGAGATTAGAACATTTAATTAGATAGCTGTGTGATCTTGGGCAATTCATTTGGATTTTCTAAGCCTCAGTTTCCTCATCTGTAAAAAAGGGATAATAATGGCATCTAGCTTTTGAGTTTTGTGACCCTGGGCAGTTAATTAAACCTTTTTAAGCCTCAGTTTCCTGGTAAAGTTCATGAAGTGCTAGACCTGGAGTGAGGAGGAACTAAAGTGGATGTGTGACCCTGGGCAAGTCATTTAACCACTAGCTCTTCTGTAAAATGGGAGAAATCTTAGCACTTCTTTCACACATCGTTGTGAGGCCCAAATGAGATAATATTTATAAAATACTTCGAAAAGATTTAAAACACTACATGTAATATTATCTATGATTACAAAAGTGCTAGCTATTATTAACCAGCTGTGTGATCTTCATCAAGGTAACTTGACTTCTTGGAGACCTAGTTTTCTAATTTGTAAAAATGGGAGAGTTGGGCGTGGCTATCTACAAGCTCCCTTTCATCTGCAACAGTCTTTGAGTCTGTGCTATTGGTAAGGAGGACTCATTGGAGGACCACTGGAAGCAACTAGCTCCTCCCTCAACCAGACTTTTTCCAGAGACATCTTCTCTCCCAGGGACTCACTGAGTTTGGCCTCGTCTTCCCAGTTCTTGGACAGACTGGCTTCTTCAACCTTCTCTCCATTTCTGCTCACCTTCTCTCATGAGCTTTGGTCATTTACTCTCTGGGACCAATACCCTCAGATTTTTAAAGCACCTTTGCCCTCCCCCTATCATTAAATAAATATTGGATAGCTGCTTAATTCACCTGGGGTGTATTTGAACAATGAGAAAGGCCTTGAGCTAAAATAACGAAAATCTAACCAGAATTTCAAACACCAGTAAGAGGGTGGGAACAGACTGGGTGTCCCAAAAGTCTTAGTGTGGCTTTGAGCCATTAAAGCTTCTGAAATGTACATACAAGGTGTCCCCAAAGTCTTGATGCAGCCTTAAGCTTTTAAAGGTCTTGGATTACCCTGGGCATATATTTCAGAATAAAATCCCTGAAATCACACCATGTAGACAGGTCTCTATCTTGCCCTTTTAAAAGGTTGTCCCTATCCAGTGATCAAGAGTAAAAGTTAGAGGAAAGGGGACATTCCCAAAATAAAAACGTCCCTCCTCCCTCCCCTTTCCCGACTCCCCAAAAAAGATATATTCAGTTACACAGGATTCTGAAGTCCTGCCCAGTCCTGTAGGCAAGCATTAATTAATTCCTTCAATAAACATTTATAAATCATCTACTGTGTACAGAGTCCTTTGCTAGATACTAGATGAGATGAAAGTTTAGATAAGACCTACTCCTTTCTCTTGGGGAGCCAATGGTCCAGTAGGGAAATAAGTCAAGCACAGAAGTAACTCTAATACACAACATCACCCAGTAGGTACATGAGAAGAAGCAGAATAGGGCTTTGTGAGGGCTGACAAGGTGGGGACTGGCCTGAGCAAAGGACTAGAGGTCGAAGAGCCTGAGGTGTGTTAGCGGGGGAAGGGGTTACCCAGTATGCCTGGGGAGCAATTGTTAAAGGGGAGTAATGAGAGATAATGCTTCAAAGGGAGGGTAATACCAGATTCAATACTTTGAATGCTAGATAAAGAAATCCAGACTTTACTTGGGAGGCAATCAGGAGCCATAGAAGATGTTTGAGTAGAGGAGTAATACAGTCAGATCTATGGGGAAGGAAGGTTATCCTGGCAGCAGCGTGAAGGATGGAGGAGAGGTGGGGAAGAGATCTGACACAGGAAAAGCTGTTGGTAGACAATTGCCATAGCCTACGTTGGTGCCAATGAGGTCCTGTACTATGGTAGCAGCAGTGGGATTAGAGGGGAAGGGATGATTGTGGGGATAGATCAGGCAGGAGATGCTAACTGACTGAATATGAGGGCACAGTCTTACCTGCTCATAGTCCTCAGCCTCAACATGCCTGTGTCTCCGAAGTTGCTTTGCCACAGATTTGGGCAGCATCTGGTGGAGGAGGTTTTCAGCCAGCCTCCGTTCATGCTTCAGAGCCTCAGTCCTTGCCCTGAGGTTCCGGGCATAGTTCTGGATCCACAGGGTCATCTGCTTGAAGGACACGAAGAAGATGGGATAGATGAGGCCAGTCACCAGCAGCAAGCTAACCTTAAGGCTCACGGATGAGAGGATGGCCCTGGCTTTCCCATCCAGCTTCTCACGGCCAAGGTCCCAAAGGCAGCGATGTACACCCATGAGGCCCTGAGCCAGGGCTCTCCCAGGGCCCAAGGGAGAGAGTGCCAAGAAAGGCTGAAAGAGAGAAATGCCTTCCACAGATATGGGCAGGGAGAGGGACAGATTGGCATCACTCAGCCAGCAGCTCTGCAGGTCCTCTGAAGCAAGAAGGGCAAAGTTAAGGATGGGGAGCATTTGGTACCATCTTGCCTCCCTGTCTTGGGGCTGCTGAAAGACCTGGAGAAGGAATTCTTGGACCCGTAAGAGGATCTTCAAGGAGACTGCATCAACCAGGTCAGGGTTACTCCTCACTGCCTTGAGGGTCTCCTCAGGATCCCCTAGGACCTGAAGCAGTTCTGAGATGAGCACAGAGAGCTGTGAGCCCAGCTCAAGGGCTGAGGACACGTTGAGTCTTTGCCTTGCCATATCCATGTACAATCCACAGACTTGCTCATCCTGGCATCCAGGATTGTTGAGACGTAGCCCATCTTCCTCCTTTCTACAGAGAGCCTCCATGTGGTCCAGCAGCTCCCTATGTGACAGGCTGTTGTCACTGAACGGGGAGGCCACCCGTGGGTGCCAGCAGACACCCCTCCTCTCTTGGAGGAACCTGACCAAGGGCACCACCAAGAGGTGTCTGCAGGATGACAGATCCTCAAGGGCCAGCTCTGTGCTCCTCCACCTCTCAAGGCCGTCCTTCAAGTCCAGGGTGATGAAACCCAAGAGGGTCAACAGAGAGAACACACAAGCCCCCAAGACCCTCCTCATTGCCTGGCTGGCTCCAGGGTTGGAGAGAGGAGAACATCTGGAATGAGCAGAGCACAAACACCATCACCAAAGACCATATGGACAACTCCTCTGCGGTGGGAGGAAATGCTCCCACTAGAAAGCACTGTTGAGATTGGAGAGCTTACTTAAACTCGCTTCCCCTGATGACTATCATGCATTATCTGATTAACCTAATGAGACTGCTCATTAATAATTCTCCATCATTCATCATAACTCTTAATTATTCCCACATGGACTGTTCCCCCCATCCACCCATTTGGATGATACGTAGCAAAATTTTCATCTTGGCCTGAGTTGTTGGGATGACAATTCCATCCCTAAGCACTAAAGGCGAAGGTGAAGTGGGACTGGGGGAGGAGGAGTGCCCACAAGCTCTCAATAGAGGGTAGAGAGAATTTCTAGGACCTTCAGGAGCCTTCCAAATGCTAAAAGTTTGGTTAGAAGCCACCTCTCACTCATCACATTAAAAAGGCTTGGGGGTGGAGGGAGGCAACCAGGTGACGCAGTGGATACAGCACCAGCCTGGGAGTCAGGAGGACCCGAGTTCAAATTTGACTTCAGACACATGATATTCACTAGCTGTGTGACCCTGGGCAAGTCACTTAACCCCGATTGCCTTAGGGGGAAAAAAAGGCTTGGGGAGGTGGAGGGATTTAAGTGGCCTGCTAAGTGCGAGTTAGGATAGGCAAACAAAAGGGGAGAAATGGCCTTGGCTGGGCTGAGGCTTCATTAAGACTGTGGAGAAAAGGGGTAGCACAGTGGAGGAGGAAGGCAGAAAAGGAGAAAGAGAAAGGGAAGATAAGGGAAAAGGAAGGAAGGAGGAGAAAGAAGGAAGAATAGGAAAGGTGGAGAAGGGAAAGGAAGAGGAAGAGAGAAGAGGAAGGAAACAGAAGACAAGGAGGAGAGGGAAGGAAGCTCTAGACTAGTTTTAGAGATTCACTCTCTGCCGTAGATCTCGAGGAGGAAGGGTTGGCCCCTTGATTCCAGGATGGGAAGCACCAAGCAGGAACCCCAAGGAGAAAGATGAGTCTGGCCTCCATCTATGCTGCTATCCGAGCAGGGCTTGGGTGTGGACCCGGCCCACTCCTGGGCTTTCTCCAGTTGCTGAGTTTTCTCTTTCTCTGAGGAGGGATATGAGCAAAGGAGAGGGAGGTTGGGGACAGCCCGAATTGGGGTTGGGGCGGGGGGTTCGGACACCTACGGCGCTCTCTTGGATTCTGGAGCTCCCCCCAGCCGCGGACCCCGGAGATTGTGAAGGTACTCGGCGCCAGATCCGGCCTTCCACTTACTCACCCTGCGCAGAGATCACAGCCACCATCCTGGTCCTGCCGCCCCGTCTGCTCCCGACGGCTCTGTACAGAGCCCAGCTTGGTCCTTGAGGACCAGGATGAGGAGCCGAGCTCAGGAGCCACTCCTGCTCCGCTCCCAGTCAGGGTCATAGGGTCCGGCCAAGCTCAGCTGTCGGAGCAGGAGGCTGCTGTTACAAAACCTTTCCTGTCGCCTCTGTCTCCAGCTACAAGCCCGAGGAGGCAGAGACTCTGGGGTTTGAGGTTGCAGCCTCTTTGCAGTCAGGAAAGCTAGGCTCAGCTGGAGAAGGAAGAGGGACCCCGGCTTGCAAGAAAATGGCCAAGCCCAGCTCCACCCCAGCACCCTGAGCCCGAAGGATCTGGAATGCACTGTCCGGAGACGGCAGGACTCTGGAGGTGGAGGAAGGGGAGGGGACGGAATGGTAGTGTGCCACAGCATGTCCATGGCAACTGGGGGGGGGGGGATGCTTGAGTCCAGAAACTCTCCAAAGTTACCCTGGCGAAGCAGGGCCATGGAGAGCCTGGACTGCATCTTGGGACCGCTTGGATCGGAATATAGACAGCCCTAGATGGGTTTACTGGGTTTGGAGTTGGAGAGATCAGACCCCGGGGGAGGAAGCTCTTGTCCATGGTGCTGAACAACAACCGAGTTTAGCCTGGTCCCAGCTAGATAATCTGGCTCATGGATCCTTAACTGCTCTAGGACTCAGTTTCCTCTTCTGTAAAACGAAACTGATAAGCTGGTTCCTATGCATCTTTCTAGCTCTGATATTTTATACTATATTCTCTTCCAGATATACTCTTCTATGCTCTAAGGTCTCTCCCAGCTCTGACATTCTGAGCTCTGAAAGCTCTTCTAGTTGTTAACATTCTGTGTCCTAAAGGTTCTTCTTGCTCTAAAATTCCCTGTTCTAATAAAAGCCTTTCTAACTGTGACATTTTTTGAGCCATGGCCTTGTTCTGGGCAGCTAGGTGGATAGAGTGCAGGCCTGGATTCAGAAGAGCTGAGTTCAAATGTAGCCTCAGATACCTAATAGCTGTGAGACTCTGGCCAAGTCACTTCACCCTGTTTACTTTAGTTTCCTCATCTCTAAAATGAGCTGGAGAAGGACATGGCAAACAACTCCAGTATCTATGACAAGAAAACCCCAAACGGGGTCACGAAGAGTCAGATATGGCTGAAAATAACTCAACAACAACAAAAAATGTAACTTGTTCTAGGAGATGGGCTCCCTTTCCCTTGACTTTCCCTGTTGTATCACTGGATGGTCAGGGTCTTTGAAGCTAGGCCAAGGGCAGATTCTCTCATTGAATCAGAACTTGCTCTTCCCTGCATACAGCCCAACTCTCTCATTTTACAGAAGAGGGAACCAAGACCCAGAGAGAGAAAATTACTAGTTCAAGGTTATACAATGAGTTAGTGGCTAAACTAGGACTAGGAATCAGAAGCAGGAAAGTCTGAACCCCCTTGTCAGGATGTAAGTGGAACATTAGGAAAAGGAGAAATGCACCCTGGAAGATTTAATGATTCAGAGAAGTTATTAAGCACATGCTATAGACCAGCACTGTGGTAAGAGCTGGGGATAGACACAAAGAAAGGTAAAAACAATTCCTCTTTTCAAGGAGCCCACAATATAATGCAGGAGACAATGTGTTAATACTCAGGTACACACCAAGTATCAACGGCAGTTTCCATTCCTAGCCTTCTGAGCACTGTCCTCTCCACCCCCAAGTAGCATTTCTATTTCTCTTCAGACCACGGAGGATTCAGATTAATTATTTAATTCAGCAAGTATTAAATACCCATTTAAATGTCATCATTCCTCTCCAGGTGACATGCTTGCCATCGCTCTAGGACTTTCTCTAGATGCCACAGAATCCTCTTCACCTCAGAAGCTCACTCTACCTCTGGACTACTTTTCCCATTTGGAAAGACCCTCTGCCTCTGAAGCCTCTCCCTTTGCTTGGCTAGGTTCTCAGACTTCCCGTTGTAAGGAGGAGGCCCAGGCCAACCACGTCTTCATTCCTCTCCAGGCTGCACTCCTGACTCTGCACTTTTTTACCATGGGTAGGTACCTTCATTTCCACATTCCCTCTTTTCAGTTCCCTTTTACGTGTTGTCTTCCCCTATGAGAATGTAAGCTTTTATTTACCTCACCAACATTTGGCACAGTGCCTGGAACATAGTAGGTGCTTAATAAGTGCTTGTTAACTTACTTTGCGTTATGCCCCGTGTGAAGCAATGGTTATATTAAGATAAAAATTAAATACTCTCTCCCCTCAAGGAGCTTACATTCTACTGAGCATAGAGAACAGCACGTAAACAGACAAGTGAATGCCAAATGTATATAAAGCTATATCAGGGAACACTAACAAATGGGGAAATGAGGAAAAGCTTCTTTTAGAGAGTGACCCTTAAGTTGAGTCTTTCACGAAGGGAACTAGAGATTCCAAGAGGCAGAGGGGAGGAGGGAAGACAGAATTTTAGGCTTGGGAGAATCCTGTGCCAGGTCACAGAAATGAAAGGTAGGCCACTTTGGCTCTAGAGTTAGTGCAGGGGAGTAATATGTAATCATATAATAGTTATATGACCCTAGGCAAGTCATTTTACTTCTCCTAGACTCAGTTCCCTCATCTGTAAAAATGAGTATAATAACAGCATTACCTCACAGGATTATTATGAGGATTAAATGAGATAGCTGGGCAGCTAGGTGGTGCCATAGTGCACAGAGCACTGGGCCTGGAGTCAGGAAGACTCATCTTCCTGAGTTCAAATCTGGCTTCAGAAACTTACTAGCTGAGTGACCCTGGGCAAGTCACTTAACTCCATTTTCCTCACTTTCTTCATCTGTAAAGATGAGTATAATGCTAGCACTCACCTCACAGGATTGTTAAGAGGCTCAAACGAGATAACATGTACCATGTTTACAAATGTTCAAGCATTCTAAAAATCCTAGTGACTGTTGTTCCTGTTATTATTTTGGATAGATAGGTTGGAGTCAGATTATGAAGGATTTTTAATACAAAACAGGGGAATTTGCACTTTATCCTAGAGTCAATAGGGAGTCACAGATGGCTCTTGGGCAGTATAGTGACATGGTCAGAGCTGTGCCCTAGAAATACCAACTTGAAAGGATGGAGGACGGAGAGACAAGAGTTTGTATGCAGAGAAACCAGTGAGGATGCTATTGCAATAATTCAGATAAGAAGTAATTAGAGCCTGAATTAGGGTCATTGTGGTGTGAGTGGAGAGAAGGGGACAGATACAATAGACAGTGTCTATGTAAGATCAAGACTTGACAGCTGATAGAATATAGAGATGGAATCAAAA